GTTTTCTTGTTCTTTTTGTGCGTTTGTATAAATCTGGAGTTTTTGCCAGGAAAATAATTTTTTCCAAGCCCAGGTTGTGGGGTCGAAAAACTGCAGAAATTTGTGCGCGAATGTTTGCAAGCCATCCATATCGAGGCTCTTGTTTATGGAAATTGCACTGAAAAGGTAATTTCTTTCAGGTGTTCATTGTATTAGCTTATAATAAAAGACTTGTTTTCTTCAAATTTCGGGATCGCTTTTACTTCAGTAAAGTATCAGCTATTTTAGGAATCCACAGCAATCATAAATGATGTTGTTTCAAAGTTCAAAGAACTTCCCAGCACTCGTCCACTCTTCGACACTGAACTGGATCTGTGCCGAGAACATGAAATCCCTAAGGGCAAGTCTTGTAAATTATTGCTGTTTTGCCGGTGCTGTAACGCCATGCTTCTAGCCCGCGTAGTTTTCACGTGTTATTATGAACAGTTTGCACGATTCTTCAAGTTTAATCCATGATTTTAGGGTGCTCATACGTATACAAAGCATGCCAGCCAACACATCCTAATGCATCCATTGACTACATCATGCAAACAGGTCAACAGGATGTCCGTGAAAATGTCTTGTTGGAGCTAATCGTTCAGCTTATCTCCGAACCTGCTTTTAATCAGCTTCGAACAAACGAGCAGTTGGGTAACGTGACAAGTTCTTATTTTTGAAAGTCTGAATAGGATAGACTTGTATTTTCACTGGTTTACACATTACAGTTATTGACCTTTCAGGCTGTTCCCCAGCTGTTATTAGGTTTTGAATTTGCCATTCTGGATCAGTGCATGCGTAATCATAACTGTTTCTGGTGAGATAAACTGAACGCATCCGCTTGAACTGTGAGAGTGCTCCACGTTTAGAAAGTAGCTGGATTTTCTTTTTTCTTTCAGGCTACATTGTTCATACGGGAGCGAGAAGAAATCGTGGCGTTCAGGGAGTAGAGTTACTAATTCAAGGACAGCACGATCCCGAGTTTATGGAAGAAAGAATCGAGAATTTCCTCATGCAATTCAGAGTCTTTCTTAAATTATTTCGATCATTCGTGATTTCCGTTGCTGTAGGAAGTCAGTAGTTGTTGCAAAATGTTATACATGAGCATTTTTCTTTCGTCTTCTTCAGTCCGAGCTTGAGCAGATGCCCGATGAAGAGTTTCAAGA